AAGAAGTCATCTAATCAACACTGGGTGAACAGGAAAGAAGCAATATTGGTAGTCTAATCAGTGGACACCTGCTGCCCAGAAGAGGATTTCCTTTGAGTGAGGCAGCTTTCCTCAACTGAAGCAATACAAAAAAGACAGATGGCTGTAACTAAGGCAAGACAATGCATCATCTAGGATGGTCTGTTGCCTGTGCCAGCAGAGCCTTTCCCCAGAAAGTTCTGGGAGCATCTCCTTTAGGACACTAGCAGACCACTTTCCTTGGCAATAACCTATAGAGAAAGAAGGTTAGCAGGATGTTGTCAGATGGCTGCTTTGTTGCTAATAAGGTCAGTAGATTCCAGGTAGTGTACCATGTGACCAGTCCAGTAGCTTCTGTAGAAGTGTGAGCAAGGAAGGCTATTTCTCATTTGCTGTTAAGTAGGTTTCTTGTTCTGATGCCATGATAGGTGTAATCAAATTGGTGAATCAAATAGAACATAAATCGATGACATTGTTCAAGCCTAATGATGTGAATTCAGTCCCTGGATCCCTTGGTTGAAAGAGAACCAGTTCCTGAAAGTTTTCCTCTGACCTCTACATACATGCTGGTGTGTGTGTGTGTGTGTGTGTGTGTGTGTGTACATACACATCAATAACAAAATTAAAAATTAAATATAGTCTTATTGGCTGAGATCCTGAAGTAACAACCATAAAGAGTATGCCCACCTATCCTACTAAAATAAATGGCTTCCCTTTCCTGAGTGTAAAGAGTCCAATATGATCAGTTTACCACCAACTGGCTATTTCCAAGTGTTACCTTCCCATTTTATATTACACTGAATCTTGGTAATGCTTTCTGGTGGCAGTTTGTGGTTGTTAACTTAACAACGGTGAGTAAGTGACCACAAAGTAGGTCCATGTGAAGTAGGTCCTCGTCAGAGCTATGCCATCTCTGTTCCTAAATCTTTGGTACCAGTGTAAGAATGGCTGATGGAAAAGCTGATTTATAGACTGTTGAAATGGTTCAGCAGGTAAAGGGTCCTGCTGCCAAGTCTGATGGCCCGAGTTTGATACCCAGGAGCCACATAGTAGAAGGGTAAAAACGGACTCCTACAAGCTGTCCTCTGACCTTCACGCTTCTTGGAAGAAATCTACTTGCCTACACATTTGCATGTGCTCATTCAAAGATGGAGCAAGGAAGAAAGAGGGAGAAAGGAAGGGAAGAGATTCAATAATTTGAGAGGCAATCAGGGGAACATGGGAGGATTTAGAGGGCAGAAAGAGGAGGTCACAAATAATGTAGATACAATAAATACTTATGTTGAAATTCTTAAAAACTTCAATTGAGCCGGGCGGTGGTGGTGCACACCTTTAGTCTCAGCACTTGGGAGGCAGAGGCAAGCGGATTTCTGAGTTCGAGAGTTCGAGGCTAGCCTGGTCTACAGAGTGAGTTCCAGGACAGCCAGGGCTACACAGAGAAACCCTGTCTCGAAAAAACCAAAAAAAAAAAAAAAAAAAAAACCAAAACCCCAAACTTCAATTGAAAAGAGGTAGAGCTGGCATTTAAGAGATTTTTAACACAGATTTAAGCATAAAGTTAATAAAGAAGTACTTAAGCAGAGGGAAGTGTCCTACCAAGAACATGGGTGTCTGCTTCTCAAGAGTGTGTGTGATTCTTTGTCGGATGGGGCTCTGAGGCTGGGGACACCTGCCCAAGTTTTCAGGTTATTGTTTCCTAGAACAAAATAACACAGGACATAGGAACATGATGGAAATAGAGGTTTAATAACAAAAGAGAGAGTCTCCCCTCAGAAAGGGGGGAGTCTAGAGAGGTGAGTCCTCAAACACCTTCAGTTCCAATGTCATGACCCCTATAGGTTATTTAAACAGCTTCAGCCTTCTCCCACACTCAGAAAAGCCTCCCAGAGGCTTTTCTCCAGCACTATTGCTTGGTTTTGTTTCATGCAGCTTCTGGGGGTGGATTTCCAGGCTTTTTGCTAACTGGCTTCTTTCATGTTAAACTTAATGCTTTTTTTTTAATCCCCACCATATTTTGAGTTTGTATAGTTGTATATAATGGACGTTGATGGCTTCTGAAGTTGCACCTCCAAGGGCTCCTAAGGAAGATTAAATGAGGATGCTACAGGGAAGTCCTGATGCAAATGGGATAGAATTACAGCTGATAGGTAAAAACAAAATCTAGATCACGAGGATGTATGGGGAAGATGGATGTTTTCAATGTTTACAGAAGTTATATTTCACTGCAAATGAAATCTACCTGCATCCACATTTGCATATACACACTGCCTACATCTACATTTGTGCTCTCTCTCTCTCTCTCTCTCTCTTTCTCACACACACACACACACACACACACACACAGTTGGCCTGCATCAGACACACACACACATACAGAGACACAGAGAGACAGAGAGACAGAGAGACAGAGAGAAAGATTCTCATTTGAGAATTCTACAAAATATCTGGGAAAGAAGTAAGGTGGTATTCTAAGGTCAGATACACAGATACACTCAGGCCTTATAGTTCATTGGTATTTTAACATTCTTACTTGAAAATATTTCTATATAAAAGGAATAATGTCTGTCGAAAGCAGGGACTCTCATCTGTTACTAGCAGGCTATTGATAAGGGGTTAGAATCCCCCTCGGGGAGAGGAGCAACAGGTTCTACTCCACTCAGATATCCTATACTGGATTTGACTGTGAGACCATCAGCTCCGAGAGGGAAGAGAGTGTACGTCAAGAGACAGAGGTTTTAGAATTCAGTTACTTCTTTAATTAATAATGCACAGCAAGCAATATATTATCACCAATGGCTATTGGCTATTGCTCCAACAAGATATTACCACATTTCCTATGCTTTGCCTCTAACAATATGCACAATGAACACTAATAAGTTGCTAATTACCAAAGAAATAAGCATAGCAATAAATACATCATTCATTCAGGGATTTTACGACCTGAGTCCTTTTAATGGTTTCGGGTTACAGGTCTGGGGGGTGGGGGTGTCAGATAGTTGAATTGCTAATTTGACCTCATAGGGTGTTTAACAAGGAAGAAGCTGGAGACTTTGGTCTCTTGGTTAACTCTTTGATGACCAGGTGCTGAGGAGGTTTTGTCCTTGTCTGGAGGATCACATTGACCAGTCATGGCTACAAGTGTGATGAAGTGTCTGGACGGGCTCCTCTTTTTATGTTCGATTTGGCATTACTGCTGATGTGCATGGCAGATAACCACTCGTGTCTGTTATCACCAGGCTCTGATCTCATCACACCTGTTTATCACAGCACAACTTATTTCCAGACTTGCCTTTACAAGTACCAGACATGTCTTTACAAGTTTCCTATTACAAAATGGAGTTGGTCCTGTTTAAGGGCCTGCTCCTTACACTGTCTCTCTGTAGGCAACCTTCAGCACAAACATTAATTTTACTCTATTCATAGCTGCCAAAAGGCTTCAGAAAGACTCCGAGGTGAGGGACTCGTTTCTTCCCTATGCCCCCACAATTTTCCAGTTCTATCCTCCCTCAAGTTTATCAAATTTCCATTCTTTTGGTGGAACTACTCCATTGGCTGATAGTGAGAGTCTAGCCAGTTGTCAGTTATTGTAGTAAACCCATAGAGTCTTGCTATGAAGAGTTCATAATGTGTGAAATCAGGTGACAATAGATCTTAATCTCTTAGAGGAAATGCACAGTAATACATTTCCCTGCATTGTGAAATCCCTGTTTTGAGTATGTAGTGCTGTGGAAACTAGAGGTGTAGCTGCAGCTGAGGCTGTTTGAATGAACTTTTACAACAACGGAAGATGATGAATCTTCAAGAAAAGTAGATGGTATCCGACCTCAATTTTGAAAGATAAGAGGAAACCGATGAATATTTTGGGAATTGTTAGAAAAACAACAGAGCCAGAGTCATTAAACTGGTAAAAATAGATTTTATTCAGGGACAAATAGAGAAAGAGACATTGGAATATAAAACAGGGCTCATGTCCTGTATTGTAATAATTTCTAAGTAAAATCTGTTTTTAACCTCTGTCTCCTTCTGTTTTTCTTCAAGAAAGGAGATGGTGATTCTGAACATTTGAGATCAAAGCAAAAGAATGAACAAATCCAGAGAAGCCTACAGCAATTTAAGGGGAAAAAAATGTAATCCACCAAAAGTACTCAAGAGAAACAAGAATTCCCTATAGGGGGAAAGCAATGTTGTGGTTGGGGAAAATATCTGCTGACAGTAAGGACCGCATCTACTTAGTGGTAAACAGAAAACAAAGGAGATTTGTATTTACCACTGGAACCTCAAAAGGGAAAGGTGAATCTGAATAAGATTGCTTGAATGTTGGGTGACAAGAAGTATAGACTTTGGTCTCTAGTGCCAAATGGGAGAGCCTAGGGCGTTAGGGGACTTTACAACTGATAAGTGTTCTTCTGATAGACTCCTGATGCACAAAGCAGCCGCTCCCTTCCGGCGGGACCTCAGTTTACCCGCTTAGCACAAGAAAAGCTCTGAGGCAGACTTCAGGATCCTTGCCTCTGCCCAATTGACTTAGGTGTCCAGGCCTTCCTCCAACCGGGAAAGGAGACACGTATCCTGATAAACAGCAGCTTGGAGTGGGCGGAGCGGGAGGAAGACCAAGCTCCGCCGCCATCCTGGGACGCCTTCGCCTTCCGGTTCTCTCAGTAGACCCACGCGACCCTACGCTGTGCCTGCGGCCCGGCCTACAACAAAACAGGAGCGGGAGCCTGAGCAAACGGAGGGCGCGCGCCGCGCCGGTGCCACGTGACTCGACCCGCCCACGTGACCAGTGGCGCCGGCGCTCGCACCCGGGCTTTGTGGGAGGAGCCGGCTTTGGCGACCGCGCCGAGGAGTCAGGGCCTGGCCTGGGGGCCTGACAGGTAGAGCGCTGCAGGGCGGAGGTGCGGCCGAGAGGCCGAGCGGGGCAGCCGGGCGGGGCCTTACTCGGCCGCTGCGGGGTCCGCTCCCTCCCGAGGGCCGTGCGCACCAGGCGCGTTCCCGACTCTCCGGCGACGCGCACTCTGCACCCCCAGTTTCTGTCTTGCGGGAACTTCACCCAGGTGTGCGGCGAGCTGAGTAAATGGCGTTGCCCGCGGCCTGCCTCTGAGGAGCCGCGCTGCCCGCCCTACCGGAGAGGAACAGCAAGCACGCAGGTTAGCGGTGGGAAGCTGACTGCCGCAGAGCGCAGAAGCGGAGGGTTGCAGTTTTATAAGACAATGAATCTGGCTTTTAAGAACATTCGTAGTCTTCCTTGCCTTTGCCCTGTTACTACGAGGATTAAAGCTCCTGGTGGGGAAAAAAAAATCGGAATTTCTGAGACTGGCGTGCGCTGTAGCGGGAGTAGCATCAAAAAACAAGAATTGCGGGCAGACATAAAGATGATGCTTGGACCCTGACTGGAGTTGAGAGTGTCTTTTAAATTCTGACTTCAGTTTAAATCACAGCAGTATTTAGGTTCTCTTCATTGGTGGCTTGGGTTTTACTCCATTGTGTGAACACCAGTGACTTTGCTAGTACTTCTGGGCGGTTTTTTTTCTTTCCCCTCTTTGTGCCTATTGAAGAGGAAGTGATGCGTTAATCTTGGAAGTGTTTCTTCTGTGATTTTTAAGTCTTATGATCCAAAGGGTTAAGTTCCACGAATCTCAGAAAATATACAGAAAACCAAAGCTATTAAGCTTGTAGCTTAAAATTTGCTTTCTAAGGTTTTAAATTGAGTGCCTGTCTGTTCCAGGAGCTAAGAAGTCTGGGATCTTTATCTGAGAGTCATTCGTTTGAATGGCTCTTTCTGTATCTGGTTCTTAAAAGAAGCATAAGAAACAAAGATTGGGTCTTTCATAAGTCTAGAGGCCAGACAAGACATTGAGATACATTTTCTTTCTTTCTAGAATCTATAGTTAAAATCGTAAAACATTACTTTATATGTATCCAGGACTGTGATGAAAACTGCTGGACTTTAACTAGAAAAGATTTCTTAACATGTCAGTTAATAATTATCCACTGTGTATTTGGCTCACAATATGGACTCAAAATTTAAGGTTGTCAATCATATCTAGGCCACAATATATGGTTTATAAGAAGTCTACAGAGTGAGTGCCAGGCCAGTCAGGACTACACAGAGAAACCCTGTCTTGATAACAAACAAAACATTTACAAGAATGGAGAAAACTTTAAAAAATATAAATAAATATAAAGAAGAATGTACATAATCTGTAATTTTACTACCTAGAGAAAACATTTTGTATTTTAGGGTATAAGTTCTATTTACATTGGAAATTTGAGGAATTCCAGAGTTCAGTACGATTTAAGATTGTAAGAGAAAGCTACTCCCCAAATCTGCTTGATTCTAGAATTTAGGTAGTGAATAGCAGTTCAAATAGCTAGGCTACTTTTGTATTTGGAGGGTAGTAGATACACTTTATCATACGCATGTACTAGATTAGGAAAGTCTGTAATTTGAAACATGAACATTTCAAGCTGTTAGCTAGAATAACTTTCTGATATAAGAGAAAAATATGTGGGGACAGAGAGTCCCAAGGTTGAAACCCTGAGCACAAAATTGTTGTCAACATGTCTAGTAGCATGCTTTGGTGGTATATCACAAAGAAATATACTGAATTAAAGTAAAGACTGACTAAATATAAAACTTACTTTCTTCTGTGTCTTTGGTTATTACTGATGTCATTATGTTACTGGTTTTAAGTTAGCATTTTGTGATTTTATCTGAATGATGAATGTGCTGTGTTCTCCCTGTGTAGTTTGTCCTTTAATGAAGGTAGCATCATGCTTATAGTTTAAATCCTTGTTTTCAAAAGATGTTAGATGGTCCATAAATGCATATGGGAGAAGGAATCTTAAGCAAACTGTCATTTCTAATGTGTTTTTCACTTCAGAAATAGACAAACAAAAGGTTAGCTTTTTTTGGGAGTACTCTGAGCAGCTTCCTGTTCCACTTCAGACCTCTTTCCTGGAGGAGAGAATTCTGAGATCAGGATGTACCTCTAGAGTGTAGAATCTAGACGATGGTGTTTTAACTTCTGGGCTCTGTCTTACCTTTTTTGTTTTGATTTGTTTGTTTGTTGGTTGGTTGGTTTTTAGGACAAGGTCTCATTGTGTAGCCTTGGCCAACCTGGAACTGGCTATATAGACCAGACTTGCCTTGAACTCATACAGATCCTCCTGCCTCTTGTCTCCTGGGTGCTGGAATTAAAGAGAAGTATCCTTTGTCATAGTCCACATCACAGGATGTGTTCTCTCCTGCTAATCCTACAGCCACTTGGGTGGTTTGTTTCCCAACCAGAGCACATGATTTCAATATCATCTCTTAACAACAATGAACTGTCAGAGTCTCTGTTGTAAAATTGCCAGAAACTTCTGGACAGTGAAATAAAAGCAGCCCCTTGGGTGACAGGACTGAAGAAATGCTCCCAGGGGCCATTACTGTAGGTTGTATTTCAAGTCAAGTAATTTCTGGCTCTTGGAGAAGGACAGCTATAGGACCTTCCATTCTCATCTTAAATAAATGATGAACTTGACATGGCGGGGTTGGGAAATTCTGGGGCAGTGGTCATGCTCTCTGCAAATGAAACTGGGAGGCTGATATTTAGTGACCTCTGTACAGGTGGCCTTAACTGTGTCTGATGAAAACAGAATTCGGAGTTCACAGACTTAAGTCTTGTCCCAATTCAGGGCATGCTATTCCTTTTCTTTTTCCAGTTCTGTAAGTTGTAGTAGCAGTTGGGACAGTGATAGAATTAGCGTCTCAGCAAATGTTTGAAACGGTGTTGTATTTGTAGCCCTTCCAACACTGAGTGAAGAAGCTGTGAAGTGTGTTCCTAGTCTAAAAGATCTGAGCCTGATCTGTCTTAGAGACTTGTCTGGACCTGCAAATCGTACTAATTGGGAGGGTTAGCATCTCAGTATCCAAAAGCCCACCAGAGTAGGTATGGGAGGAGTTGCTACAGGTAGCACTTGGCTCTACAGTAAGCCAAAGGATTTCTTGATCTTTTGTTGTAACATAGATGGATGACAGCTGCAAAGTTGTACTCCAGAAGGTTTGTCCTAAACCCTAGAACCCCTTTATTTGAAAGTTTTCCTAGAATACAGATACAGTGAACTAAAAAATAGAGAAGATGAATATATCCTTAAGTCTTTTATGCACAAATGGGCTCTTAGAGCTGGACAGGGTAGCACAGTCCCATCATCCCAGTATGGAGAAGGCTGTTATAAAAGGAAGAAAGTTAAAGATGCTTGCTCTGGAAAGAGTATGATGGTTCTTATTAAGGAAATGCTTATATGTTATTATTACTAGACCCCTGAGCATTTGATCTCTAGAATTCCACATGACAGCTTTTCTATAATAAATAGTTTTCATATAGTTGTCATTATTTTATAGACTTAGCACATGAGTATGATTCTGTCACATGGAGTGTGTACTTGCGTCCTGTCTCCCATCATTTGCTTAGTCCAGTATGTTTTTTGCATTTAAGGTTTCCACTTGGGATCAGAATCCCTGTCAGGCCTTTTGACCTTCAGAAGGCAGAAGCCGTGATTGTATTGCTCTTTACGGTGTGGTGTCCCTAGCATTATTGGTATCTATGATAATTGCAGAGGGATTAGTTAGCTACACTATTAATTTGGTTCACATTATTATTTTGTGTTGGTTTTATGTGTGTGTGAGGCATCTTAATCGTCATCAGTAGCTCATGCACTACAAAAAGCTGAGCTGTAAGGCAGCTCCACTTCTTAAACCAGTGACTAAAATCAGATCCCTTCCAGTTTATAAAAGGCATTGGTATAGAGATCTTCAAGTGGCTCGTTAAACACAATTTGAAATGTAGAAGTCCTGTGTATCTGACACTGCAGAGGAGCAGATGCTGGGGATGTCAGCTTCTGGAACCCTGTGCGCTCACCACCTAGCTAGTTCATGCTCGAGATTGCTCCAGTCTCCTGCCTCCTCCCCAGACCACAGCAGACTGGTTAGAATTTTGGTACTGTCCAACTTTGAAGAGTTGCTTTCTGTATTCTCTTTTCCTTTCAGGTCAGCAAAAGAGCTGTTCAGAGGGAGAAAATCCTGTTAGTGACATCATCCCCTTTGTTCCAAATACATTCTGGTTAGTCTGGGAGAGGAGCCATGAGGTCTATTAAAGACATAGACTTATAGGTCAACTGTAAATTCTTAATATTTTATAATATTGAGACTATTATTTCATCAAAAGCAAACTTTCTTGTACTATTGATCTCGATTTCCTGTTTTTTTTTTAAACTCTGTAAACACATTAAAGAATGTTATTTTGCCAAGTCAACAAAATTAAATTTTCTCTGTCTCACCTTAGTCTTGATTCCTAGGAGAAAGTAAAATAAACAGGCTCTTAAGAAGTCTCAGAAGATTCATTCAAAGATCCTTCAGCTCTCAGTTCTAAATTTGGAAGGTCTGCATTTGTATTCCCTGAATTTACCTTTGTGGGTATGAAATAATCTTTCCTCTGTGTGCCACAGGCTTTCTGAGAGATGGCACCATAGCTAGGAAAAGCCATGCTGGAGAGCGGGTTATTGATCTGCAATGCTAATGGGCAGAGAGGATGCAAGGTCTGGTCTTAGTGGCTGAGAACCTAGTGGGTGAAAGGTGTTCTAACTTCTACCTCTGCTGGTCATTCCTCTGTTCTTTCCTTTGTTTATTATCTCCAAAAACCAAACACATAACAAAAAATGATGATTCAGGTTGACTGCGTTCATTCTGTTGGTGAGAAAGCATTTCATAGAGTGGAACGTGATCCTCTTGGTCAGGGATCCTGTTGCTGGGATGTGGGAACAGATGGATCCTGCAGGCTTGCTCCAGTCTCACCAGTCAGTGAGTTCCAAGTTCGGTGAGAGAAAGTCTAAGAAAATAAGTACCTGAGCTTGACCTCTGGTCTCCACATGCACATGCATGGATGTAAGCCTGTGTGTGTGTGTGTGTGTGTGTGTGTGTGTGTGTGTGTATGCTTACTTAACCACATACCTCAATGATTAATAAATTAATATATTTATAATTATATGATTACATATGCAAAAACCCATGCTGATAGCAAATCTGTATGTGTTTCTTGTTTAGACCAGCCTAACTAATACTGTTCTTTACATGATACACAATGATATTGTTAGCCAGGCCTTCTTCCCGACTGTCCAGTGTTAACACTAACTTTCATGTACTCAAGAATCCACTTCTTTACATGTTGAATATGTATTGCATTGTTTTAGAGCTGGAACAGATTTTTGAAAAGTCAAGGCTCAGGAAGGATAAAAGCATACCACACTGACTGGCTGAAAGTAAATGTGAGCCTAAAGCACAGGACTCACTCTCGACACTGTGTCCCTGCTGCTATGCCAAGGCGGTACTTTTTCTTGTGTGATGGGCTGTACCTGTGGAGATGTCTGAGCAGGTTCTTACATTGACTTTTAAATTACCGCCCTTTGTATAAATGCCTTGTAAAATAAAGCTTCACTAATTTAGCCACATTCAAACTCAGCTCATAAAGTTAACCCTCATTTAGAAGGTGAGCTTGATCTTGAAGGACATTGCCAAACCCTGAGGGCAGAGTTACCTGTCAGAGTAATTGTACCATTGAAAGTTGTATGGTTTTGCATAGTAATATCATTTTGTGTTTTGAATCTCTCTCTCTCTCTCTCTCTCTCTCTCTCTCTCTCTCTCTCTCTGTGTGTGTGTGTGTGTGTGTGTGTGTGTGTGTGTGTGTGTGGTATCTATCCCAGGCTGGTCTCAAAATCATTGCATAGGTGAGGATGACTTCAAATGTATGATTCTGCCTCCATTTCTATAGTGTAGGTGTCACAGGGACTGAGCTTAGGACTTGTGCATGGTAAGGAAGCACTGTGTCAACTGAACTACAGTCCTCAGCCTATGAATCTTACACTTAAATCTTTTTAAAATACATTTTTATTTATTTTGTGTGACTGTTGTATGTTGATGTGAATGTACTATGGTTTGGATGGCATAGGACAGTTTCTGGAAGTTGGTTCTGTCTTTCTACCATTTGGGTCTTGTGAATTAAGTTCAGGTCCTCGGGCTTTGCAAAAGATGACCAGTTTTGACCAGTCATTGGCCAATTTTGCTGGTCTTGAATCTTATGTTTTCAATGAATTCTATATTACAAAAATTTGAATGATAAAAACTAATTCTGTATGGATTATATTGTAAAAGGAAAAGATGCTTCTGAATTTTCTTCAAACGGCAACCTGGTTAGCAGCAATTTACACCGTAAATTGGCTTCTGCCACATCTATTCTGTAAGAGGTGCAGACTTGACATTTGGAGAACATTTCTTCTTTTTGCTTCCTCCTTTCTCTTCTCCCCTCTGCTCTCTGTCACTGCCTTTTGAGGTCCTCTGATCCTACTTATAAATGAAGGGTAAACAGACCTGCTCTACGTTTACAGTGAGTTATAAAGGACAGTTTGAAATTGTTGTCAATGGTAAAATAGTTATTAGAACTGAGCCCAGCAATTTCATTTTTAGAAATTTATGTATAAAATAGGACATTTGTTTAGCATTTTCAGATATGTAAGCAGTACTTTCAGTGTTCCAGAATAAAGCTGCAAGTTACTTAAATGTCTCTAGTAAGAGGCACCGCTGTGTTAGTGAAATGGGCTACTTTAGAACTGTTGGAGTGCTGTAGCTCTCCTGCTGCTAAGCAGGAGCAATTTCCACTACAAAGAAGTAGACAAAGCTTCCTTTTGTGTTTTGTTCTAAAACACATTTGTACTAGACACGCGCATGCAGATCTTTCTCTCTCTCTCTCTCTCTCTCTCTCTCTCTCTCTCTCTCTCTCACACACACACACACACACACACACACACACACACACACACATATACAGGTATTTACTACCCCTGGAAGGAATTACAAACCACTAATAATAGTGATTTAGTGTAGGGAGAGACATAACTTTCCAATATTCTTTGTACCATTTGAAATGGTTTTATCGTATGTTTTTTGCCCTACCCATAACCTTAAGAATGCTTAAGAATCAGTAGAGGTGTCCGATTGCAGTGACAAGACAGACACCTCTAGTGAAGCTTTATGGTGTTCACTCCTCATTGAATGTGTGAGATGATGTTTAGGGCTAATCAAATCCTTGGTCCAGTTGGGAGCAGTCTCTGGGTGGTAGGAACGAGGCCTTGGCTGGTGTGGTAAAGCCCCATAACATTCTCATAGTGTGTGTGTTAAGTAAGGCAGAGGTTACAGAAAGAACTGCCTTTCCTGGCTGATTTCAAAGAGCAAAGGGAGAGTTAGTGGCAATGTCAGTACTTTGGATCCTCACTAGGAAAGCCTAGTTTTGTTCTGTTTCCAGAGCTGAGAGCCAGAATGGAAATTCACCAGCATGATAGGATTTTGTGTTTGAGCAGACCCCTGGAATTCTACTTCTTCCCAACATTATAGAAATTGGAGCCTCACCTAGTATTCTTTGCATAAACCTCCATGAACAGTTGTTAAGAGTTTGTGTTTGTACATATCGCCTTCCCGTAGGGCGCCATTTTAAGCTAACTGAACCTGGCCTAAAGTCCACAGTCGTTACCCATATTGGAGTAAACAGCCTCCTCTTTGTAAATGCGAGGTGACATCTATGTGTCTGGAGACAGTTTCATTCACTTCCTCTTGCAGCTTCTCCTACTCTTAGCTTTCTGGGGCATACCACATTCTTGTCATAAAGCATTGCCTCAGTGTGGTAGGGCCTTCCATAAGGGACACGTTTTTCAGTGCCCTGGGGTTTGGGCACAGTGAGTGTGGAGGTGGAAATAATGCTTCTGACTTTTCTAATGTTCTCCTGCTCCAAAGAACTGACAGACAAAATTAGGATTGTAATGTCTGTCTGTTTGAGACAGGATCTGTGTTATGTAGCTCTAGCTGTATTGGAACTCACTATATAGAGCAGGCTGATCTCAAGCTCACAGACCCACCTGCCTCTTACTTCCAGAGTACTAGTTTAGGAGTATAATGTTTTTCTGAATCCCTGAGTGAAATATCCCTAGGAGAGACCATATAGGTAGCCAGCTTTTCTGTTGGACACTAGCATGTGCATGTTTATAACAGGTAAGTCTGCTAGTATTTGGCAAGAAGAACACCTGTTTCTAGTATATTGTGCTCTCATTTCAGGAAACGCTCTGGTTTTGAAGGTTACTAAAGAATTTGACACATTGGGGAAGTGAGTGGCCCATTTCACTAATGGTAGGTTGATTTTTCTGGAATTATCTTTTGATGGCTTTTATTGATAATTTAAAATCTCCTGTTAAATTTAGCTTAGTGGCTATTAATTTTTTTCTGGAATTATTTTTCATTTCTTGCAGCAGAGATGTTAGCTTATGTATAGGAATCATCCAAAGCCACAGTCATGGTGGATGTAGGAAAGTGGCCAATCTTCACTCTGCTCTCACCCCAGGAAACTGGATCTATCAGGAAAGCATGTGTCTTTGGTACCTCAGCCAACGAGGCAATCTATGTCACTGACAATGATGAGGTAAGACCAGAAACAAGTTTGGGAGCCTACTGAGGGGTTGGACTTGAAATCCAATAGTTTGAAGACTGAGAATAGGTTTGGGATGAAGAGAATCTGAAATTCAGAAAGAGTACCTTGATGTGTTTTCCAGTTTCATATTTCAGTGCCTTCTGCTCTGTAGTGTAGACTAACATTGTAGAGTCTGAGTGTTATCTGCAGGCACTGCAGATTTCTTTGTATCTTTATTAGTCTTTTCTTGCCACCTGGGCTATCAAATTAGACTTGAGTACATCTTATTTTCTGAGCACGGGGCAAAGGAGCTGTGATTTCAAGTCAGATGATGTAAGCAAAGGTATTTTTTTTCTAGGTCTTCGTGTTTGGACTGAACTATAGTAACTGTCTAGGAACTGGAGATAACCAGAGCACTCTGGTACCCAAGAAACTAGAAGCTTTGTGTGGAAAAAAGATCAAAAGCCTTAGTTATGGGAGTGGCCCCCATGTCCTCCTCAGCACTGAAGGTAAAGACAGAAAACTGTGGCTTTTTGGTTTGTGGGTAATTGACAGTTAATTCCGAGCCAAGGAAATGGCAAATCAAATAACTAATTTTGGATTGTTCTTTATTTCTGGAGGAATATACAAAGAAGGAACAATTTAAGACACTTGAGGCCAACTCTAGAATAGCAGCAGTGTGTCTTGTACATAGACAGTCTTGAAGGTTCTTAGACTTTGAATGTAAATTGCAGAATGCTGGACAAGGCCAGGGATTAGCCTGATTTTTCAGTGGCTCTATGAACACAAGGTAACTTTGAGAGGGTTTCTTTTATACACACATGCGCACATATATATAATTTATATATAAATTGTATCTTTGTAAATATATATAAGTATTACATATAGTATATAAGCTTATATATTAAATTAAGTAATTAATGTTATTGTATAAGCATATTTTATGTAAAATAAATTGAATATGTATTAAATATGTATAAATAAATGATATCTGATATATAAATATATGTAAACATATACAAATTATATATTTGAATTTATTTTTAATTATTATTATTTTAAATGCATGTATGTGCAGTGGTGGTGTGTGTATACATTAGTGCAAGGCCTGCAGAGGCCAGAGGTGTTAGAGCCTCATGGAGCTGGAATTATAGGTGGTTGTGAGCCATATGGTACAGGTGCTGGGAATTGAACTTGGGTCCTCTGGAAAAGTAGTAAGTACTCTTAGCTGTTTCCCAGCCCTCTTTAGTGTATGTTTATACACAGACATGGTCTAGATTGTCTCCTTTGTGTAGTTGCTGAATCTTAAATCAAGATACTAGTTTATTCAGAAGAACATCCATATGGGTACCATGTTAAAGGCATAGGAGAAGTGGAGAAATTCTTGTTCTTTTGACTGTGTCTCACCAAGATTAACAAAGAAGCCATAGATATTCTCCTTTGGTAATTGTCAGTACTGTGGACAAGCAGCACTCTGAAAGTTTGTCACGTGTAACTTCTTCCCTGTGAGTTTTAGGTCTTTTATCATGTACAGAGGTGCTCCAGTTTTGTCAGATGGTCCTGTAGGGGAGCCTGTGGGAGACAGACTGCATCTCTACTTCTGTGTCTACTCTAGGGAACCCTAGTTTCCATTCATGTGGCAGCCTCTGTGTCTACCTTGGTGCCTGCCCAGAGTCTAGATCCACTCTACATTCTCTGTGTCTTTCTCAGAGGCTGTGAGAGCTGATCCTCAGACAGGAGTCTGACTGGGTTTGAGCGTAGTAAGGCAGTCTGTCACAGTGACTCTAAGTAGTCATTTGATTGCCACCCTTTCAGCTGCTGCTCTACCAGCTGGTTCACTATTACTCATTGTGGTCTGAGGGTTTGAAGTTTTCTAAACAGTTCTTGATACCTGACCCTAAGTACTGAAGAACACTTTTAATATTGCAAACATACTAAAAGACATACTTTCAAATTACTGACTTTCTTCAAAGTTGTGTTCTTTGAAAGCAGTCATGATCATTTTGGAATTATGTTAAGCGTCTAGACAATATGTTTTTTTTAAAATATCTTGAGTGTTAAATTTAGTATACAAATAATTGGTGTTTGATGAGAAAAGTTTTTGTTTAACTTCTGATCTTTATAGTATATTTTATGTAATATATTAAGCATACTATACATTGAATGCATATGTATAATTGATTAATATATTTATATTATGTGTGTTATAACCAATGAAAAACTGTGTGTGTGTGTGTGTGTGTGTGTGTGTGTGTGTGTGTGTGTGTATGTTCATGTTTGAGTACAGGTAGTGGTGTGGAGGGGTGGGTGTTGGTATAAGAATGTCACAGTGCAAGTGACCCATTAGTCATTGCCAGTCACTTTATTTAAGACAAGACCTCCTTATTGTTTGAAGCTATGTAGGGTACACCCCAAGCTTCTTGGGATTCTCTTTGAGTTACATTTACTCTTCTGCTCAATTTTACACCAGTTCTGGGCATTCCTGTGCAGGTCCTCATCTTTTTCATGGCAAGTACTTTACCCAGTGAGACATCTCCCCAGTAGTTTTTACAACAATTTAATACTTTAAACAAGTAGAGGCTGGGATTATAGCTCTGTTGATAATAGTATTTATCTAGCATGTATAAATAAAGCCTTGGATTCTATCTCCAGTACTACTTAAAACCAGAGATGGTAGTACATGCCTGTAATCCCAGCACTTTGGAGGTAGAGGTACCAGAACTAGAAATTCAAGGCCACCTTCTGCTATATACTGAGTTTGGGCCACCCTGGGGTACATGAGACTGTCTCAAAACAAAAGCGAAGGATTATGGAGAAGGTACAACTGGTACAGTACTTACTGTTGAGGCATTTGGACCTATATAAAAAGCTAGATGTTTCTAACTCCAGTGCTGGACAAATGGAAGATAGGCAGATCCCTGTAACTTGTGGGTAAATTGGTAAGCTCCAGGTTCATTGAGAGACTCTCAAAAAATAACACAGGTGTTAGAGGAAAACACCAGATGTCCTCATGTCCTCCTCAGACATCCACATGCATATATACACACATACACATGCTTCTCTTACTGACTGTGTGTGTGTGTATGTGTGTGTGTGTGTGTGTGTGTGTGTGTGTGTGTGTGTGTTTAGTACTGGGGATTGAACTACTGTTTAATTCTTTAGATGTTTCTTTAGGAATTTGATCTCTTGTATCTGTTATTGTCGTGTATGTGTGAGTATGAGCACATGCATGCATGTGTTCAGAGGAAAACTTTTGAAGTTGGTTTTCTCTTGGGCTTGTGTCTTTGGTTAGCAGCTACCTTTGCCCACTGAGCCATCTTGCTGACCCACTCTTCCACCTTATTGAGGCAGTCTGTCAGCAATGCTATGTACTCCAGACTTGCTGGCAGCTAGACTTCTGGGAGATGCTCCTGCTTCTGTCTTCCATTTCCCTGTATGTTGAGACTACAGACGCATGCCATCACATCTATCTTCTTCTTCTTCTTTTTTAATGTGGGTTTTTAAGATTGCATAGCACGGACTTTTCACCACTAAACCACTTACCAGCCCATTTTCTTTCCTATTTTTAAAATAAGATATTTCTGTTTCTACATCAGTTTTCAATTTGGGGTAGTATCTTTTAACTTTGTATTGTGGCAGATAGAATTTAGTTCTTTGTCTTCTTTCTCCTTTAAACCCAGGGATACTACCATTTCATTAAATTAGTATTGCTAATTCATTATTAATTAATTCATTATTGGGAACTATGTAAGTATTATTTATAGCTGGGCCTCTCCCTTTCTGTATGACTCCCACCCCCCTTACACATACACTCTAATTGCTGGGAGCATTTTCACTTACTGCTGCCTGTGTACATCTATCATTAACATGTGTCCAACTCTTTTACAGACTAGCACATATCAGATAATCTCTGGAGCCCTGTCTCTCCTCCAGAACTTTGAACTTGACTGGTTACCCTTTAGGGCTGCCTGTACAGCTGCCAGCCCAAAGATTCTCTGTCACTGTCATTCTCAAAAGTCTCTTCACTTCACCCTTTCTAGTTCGTGTGTGTGTGTGTGTGTGTGTGTGTGTGTGTGTGTGTGTGTCTGATGTCATCCTCCTTAGATTCGACCCTTACCTGGTAAAACATTCTCTAGAAGCATTACAAGAAAGGGACTAGAGAATCTGAGTCTGTCTTCTTTTACTCTTACTGATGTGACTCAGTGGTTTGGCTCACCTCAGGATTGTAGGGTGGAAGAGTTTTTCTAGTAATTTTCAAGTCATGGCACTTTTTAAGATGTAGTACTGACACTAACTCCATCCTGACACTAACTCTGTCCTTTCTGTGTGTGCCCGAGTACATGCCTGTGTATGCACATGTGGAGGTTGGTGGTTGGAGTTACTCTGTTCCTTTCCACCTGCGTCTTTAGAGACATGGCTTCTCACTGACTATTTCTTCCTTTTCTAAAGAAAAGGGAGAGGTCCAGCTATAAATAATACTTACACAGTCTCCAATAATGAAAATGGCAATAGTGATTTAACTGAAAGCAGTATCCCTGTGTTTAAAGGATAAAGGCAAGAAAGATAGAAGACAAAGAGCTAAATTCTATCTGCCACATTAGAGAGAGATCTTTATTCTTTATTCCAGGCATTTTATGAGTCGTGACTGCTCTGGAGTGGGTACTTTTTAGCTTATTAGTAATCTGTAGGTCCTGCCTTGATTTCTAGAAAATTTTTTTACAACTCTTCATGGATAATTGCTTGCTTGCTTGCTTGCTTGCTTGCTTTTCTTTTCTCTTCTCTTTTCTTTCCTGCACTGTTCTTTTTAGAATTTTCCTTACATAAGAAATTCTGACCTAATTTTCTTACATTTTCCTTCCTATATAATGTCTGGAAAATTAATAAACTTAATAAAACCCTATATAAATAAATATTTTACTTGTAGCTTTGTTTGTGTATTGTGTGTTTGTGTGTATGTGCATGCCCCAAGTCCTCACCCAGTCTTTGGAGCACCACACAACCCAGTCCCGACTGGTGATGACAGGGGAGCTCCAGTATGTTCTTGCTGTGGCTCTCTCATAAATAATGGCACACCTTGGAAATCTAGGGCTGGAGTGGGCTCCCTGCTCACTTCCCTTTTGCAGATGTTTGTTGATGCCTTTTCTGATTTGCTTTGTTATTTACAATATCTGTCTGTTACCCAAAGATTTTGTCTCATGTGTAGCCAATGGTGATCTTGAACTCTATATTCTCCTATCCTATGCAAGAGTCCAATCTAGAGAAGCCTATTTTTAATACATAACCATTGACTTTGGCCACAATATTGATCTTATGTATGAGTGCCAAGTCCTGTCCTGAGAGGTTTGCTTCTGCCCTCTCTGTTCTTTCTCTAACCCTTCGCTCCCTGACTCCCTACTAGTGGTCCTCTTAGAGAGAAGGGCGCACAAATGCTGATGCAATGGGAGCTGCAGAGCTTTACCAGTTCTTACTTGAGCTAGTGCTCCATGTGCTTGTGTGTTTAGACGGAGTCGTCTATGCCTGGGGCCATAATGGATACAGCCAGCTGGGGAATGGGACCACCAACCAAGGCATTGCTCCTGTCCAAGTCTGTACTAACCTCTTGATCAAGCAGGTGGTTGAGGTAGCTTGTGGTTCACATCATTCGATGGCTTTAGCAGCTGATGGAGAGGTAAGTGTGCTCTTTGATTTCTCTCAAACTGTCATAAACCTCATGATACAAAGGTTATTACCATAAGCATGTTGAGTGCACAGCTCAGTAGCATTAAGTACAGTCACACTGTTAGGTATACCCATTCACAGATCTCTTTCATCTTAAAAGGCTGAAGTTCCAAATCTGTTACATGTCAGTTCTCCTTGACACTGTAACTGACCACTCTGGGTACTGCCTGTATATGAGTCAAATAATACCTGTCAGTTGGTGGCCGATTTCACTTAGCATAGTGTCCTCAAGGTTCATTCATTTCTATAGTGTGTGACAGTTTCATACATATATGTACAATGTATGTTGATCCTCCCTACCTTACTCCACCACTCTTCTGGAACCCTCCCGAGTGCTCCTCCTTACCTTTGGGTTGCTTTTGGGGTTAGGTGTTGGGGTAAGCCACTGAGTTAGTGCTACTGGACTATTGACTAATCTTATTATCCTGTGCAGGTAACCACATTTGCAGTGAGTTCATTAGTGCACAGCCATGTCTTGTCCAGAAAACAGCGTTTCACAGCACTTTTCCAAGTATTCTTTTTTAAGGCTGAATAATATCCTATTGTTTGTATATTACATTTTGTTTATGTGTGTAGAAGGAGGTATTAGGAATTGAACACATGGCCTCACACATGCTAGACAAATGTTCTACCCTTGACCCGTTTCATTTATCTTGAAGAATATATTGGGCATTCCCACTATTCCGCTATTGTAAAAACCTGCTTCTTTACTTGTTATACCTTGTAGCTAAAATAACCAAACAGTAAAACCCATGTGAATGCATTCTTTCTCCAGTAATATTTGTGTCATGTAGTCAGAATCACCATTAGCTGGCTTGGTATGTCCATAGTCTCAGAACCAAAGACTTGAAAGCAGGGTGGAGATTTCTAGGCTAGCCTATGCTATAGAGGAAGAACTTGCCTTAACAAATGAAAAAATGAACTAACAAAAAAATTTAAATATATTGCATTTATTTATTTGTTTATTTGTGAGCTATGCCACGGTGAACATGTAGAGGTCAAAGGGCAACCTGTGGAAATCCTCTTCTTTACCATGTTCGTCTGTAGATGGAACTCAGGAGCTTTACCCTCTGAGCTAGCTTGTTTATTTCAAAAGACCCTTTTGATGAAAAAACTTATAGTGTTAAAGTTTATGTTCTTTGCCATTATTACAAAACAGATGTGACCCCTTTTTTAGGGTATATTTTGTTTTTCAGTGTTTATAATAATTTTGGAGAAAAGCAACTTCCCCAGGATTGTAGTGAGTAACTTGTTCAGCCTCATGTCTCTGGCTATCTGGAAGGACACTGTTCACTTTCCCTCTGATCTCATGTGACTGTTGCTCTCCACCTCATTCCTTTGCTTAGGTCTTGTCTCTTGCTGACCTGGTACTGTTGGTCTTTGTTATGTAACCTTGAGATCCACCTGTCCAGTCTTACTTCCCTGACCCTCTGTGATTTCTTAAGTATAAACTAGGTCAGTCACATTGTTCCTTGTTTAAAGTTTGCCGGTGATGTTAGTTTTCTACCATGTGGGAGGTTCTACCATGTGGGAACAAGTTAGATAGAAAAGGACCACAAAGCTGATGGCCAGCAACGTTTTGGAGTTAGGATAGACCGGAGGCAGGCACAGCACACAGCTGTGTCCAAACTCACTGTCTCTTTGCCTATTGCTTGTTCAGAGGAACCATGGTCCCCATTAAAAATAGAAGGCAGTGGCATTTTAAAGGAACTTGGAATATTTCAGAAGTACCAGAGGAATGATTATTGAAGTTAGACAAAATTTGTTCATTTCTGAAGCCTAGATTCTTGCTTTGTTTCAGTTGTTAGCATGTTTTACTTTGAATAATGGTGCATTATTAAACTAGATATTTCTGTGATTATCCCTTGGTAAAGTATAGGTTATTTTTCTTGAACCTATGAAATACATGTTTCATGTAGGTTTCCATAGTCATAGAGCATTATCTTCAAATATATGAACAGTAGGTTTTACTGTTGTTGTCTGGATATCATGTGAACTCAAGAATGTGTTACAGGGAAGGAAGAAGCCAGTGTAGAATATAGAAGCCAAACGAGGGGTGTGTAAGTATTGCTTGTCACAGCAAAGGCAAGGGGTGGAGGCAGGGTCTTAGAAATTCTGCTAGTGTTGGAAGAGGTTCTTCTGTCAGTAAGCCTCTCTGCTCTCCATTTTCTCCTCCAGGTTGGTCCCCTACATCCTTCCTAACACATCTCCTCCTAACTTCACCCCAGTCCTTGATAAGTCATCCAGGCACAATTAGTACTGCCATATGTACATGCATGTGGGGTCATTCACTGGAAATTGACTCAGGGGTGTCATGAAAGAAGAAATGAGAAGAAAGTAAGGGCTGGAGGATGTGATGGGGTGTTGTAAAATACTGTTTTCTGGACATGGTCATCATACTCAGAAACTCACAGTGGCTGTGGTTACCCACATAAGACCACGTCAGCCCAAATTTCCACAACAGATGGGGAGGTAGCACCAGGTTCCACTCCTTTCTGGGAGCTATTGGCAGTTGATAGCTGCTATAGCATAGAAACCTGTTTCTGTGTCTCCAGTAAAACTCTCCTGTTCAGACTGCAGTGAATAATAGCAAAAGTAGGTTGTGCAGAGTTGACAAGTGGCAAGTGAGAACTCAGTACTGTAATAACAGTCTCATAATCAGTGGCAGTTCTGTAGGAACAGACATGTCCTTAGCATGTACAACTATTTTGGTGAAAAATTACAATGAAAAAATAAGCTTGATGGTTGTTGTAAATGTACTGTGTCAGACACAGAGAAGAAAATGTTTGTGTCTTCACATAATGTCAGAGTTTGAGTACAATAGCTTTGGTAGCAATTCCTCAAGTAGCCCAGCTTTCCTTGGTACCGTAACTGAAGGCCATCACAAATTATTTATTCCTGTTTTTTTTTTTAAATTCCAATCTTGATTACTTATATTAACTCTCAGACATGTTATATTGTACATCCCTCCCTCTGTATGCATGTGTGTGCGTGTGCGTGTGTGTAAAACATAAATATTATAAAGAGGTTAAAGGAGCCACAGCAGAGCTACAGGAGTTACAAAGAGACCTGAAAGGTAAAAGCTGGTAGAGGAGCAAATGATGAAGCCAAACTGGAGTTCTCTGGGAGAGGTGATAGCTGCTGCTGCAGCTAGAGTCAACGTGCAGGATCACACTTGAGCTTTCAGAAGCAAGATAAAGTAGAGGCTCAGCACAAGAGGTAGGATTGGGTCTGAGGAATGAATGGACACATGGATGATGGCAGGTCCAGACAGGTATAGCAGTTTGCATAGGCCTTGTCAGCAGGGTGTCTATGTTGAGCTGAACAGGACACCCTAAGACAGTTAGTAATTCTCTGCTTCTTGTACACACTGGTCAGATGAAATTCTGTGGGATTTTCACCACTGCAGAGTTAGCCGTCCTCTTAATGGGATACAGGTACAAGTGTTGCACCTTTTTCTTAGTCTGGTGTGTCTGAGAAGTTCTTGTGCTTGGCTTTTCTGGTGTGATTTTATTGTGCTGGTGGGTTCCTACAGTCCTGGTTTATTATGATGATACATTTATACAGTGGTACCCTTACTAATCATTCTCCTGCTATCATTCCTGAATACTGTCTTGTGGATGGTGCCAGACAAATGGTGCTATTTACTTGTCCACTAAGTTCAGGGTCATCCTCCATAGTAGAGAAAAAGGCTGCTTATAAAATGGACCCTCTCAGGGCAAGGTACAGTCTGACAAAACATTTTACAAAGTGTGAATTAACTTAGAAAAGGGCTCTTCCCAGGGCGTGAGAGAATACTTACTCTAGGATCACTTATGGAATCACTGTGAAGATAAGTAGGTAAGTACACATAAAGCATTCAAAACTATGCCAAAGGTCTGACAACTGGTTTCTCCTTCCCTTGTAGTTATTTGCTTGGGGTTATAACAACTGTGGTCAGGTGGGATCAGGATCCACAGCAAATCAGCCAACTCCTCGGAAAGTTACAAACTGTTTACATACCAAGAGAGTGGTCAACATTGCGTGTGGTCAGACCTCATCCATGGCTGTTCTGGACAGTGGTGAGGTTCGTGCTCTTCATTTCCCTTTCCCTCCACCTCCATTTCAAAGGTGCCAGCATGGAGAGGAGAGCTTGTCTTGGTTAACTGACGACCAGCTAGCGGGTGTTCAGTCCTCAGAATGACCACAAATCTGAAGACTTGAAGTAAACATTCTAGTGTGTCTTAATTTTAGTTTTTGCAAGATCCCTGTAGTCACATGGTAAAGGCAGAGGGTGGAATAAATGTCCAATTTTTGAGCTGATGGTTACTTCTTTGAAATTGCTAGTGCAGCTTAAATGGACCACTTACCACCAGTGCTTTCCTTGGTGCATGGAAATTATACAGAGTCAACCCATGTTGACTTTTTTTCTTTACTCAGTTCTGTTATCATCCCTGAATACTTCAGAATTCAGTAGGCAGTCATCTAATATCCTCTGTTCCAGTGTTCTTCATGGCTTTACTTTATTAAGATTTATTTTATTATTTTTTCAATTGTGTGTATGTGTGCACTCTCACACACACATACACATGAATGCATTGCGCCTGTGATTCAGAAAAGGCCGGCAGATCTACTACAGATGGCATTACAGGCTGTCAGGAGTCCTCTGAGGTGGAAACTACCAGCTCTTAACTGCTGAGCCAGCTACTTTCTAGGACTATTGCTATATTTTTTTAATAAGTTTGACTTTAAAATGCTTATTATGTTGTTATTTTAACAAAGGGGAGGACAGTGCAGTATGCAATTGTGTACACATTTCCATACAACATTAAATAGCCTTGTCCTGATTGCTGATGGCCTCATGTGTATCCTTCTATACTTTCCTTTATAAGCAGATATCTACAGGTGATTGTAATTATTTTTTTAACAAATGTGACAGTTATACTTCTCTGCCTCTCTCTATCATTCTTTGGCCTGCTGTTCCCTGGCTCACTTCACAGCCTGTGCAGTCTCTGGTGTCTCAGACTGTCTCTGTAGCATAATGCTGCTTAGGTTTGCTTCTGTGGGTGACATGCACATAGAACTCTGCTGAAGGGTATTTCAGTTGTTTCTGTCCTTTTGCTGTTGTGAATAATGTTATACTGATTTTCTGTTTATGTGTGTATACCTTGATATATTATGCAGGTATTTCTATAGAATAAATTCCCAGCATAGAATTTCTAGGTCATGAAGTATGTCATTAAGAATATGGACAAGCTATTGGAGATTCCTCTGCAGAAGGCCAGTGCCTATCACACTTCTGTTTTTGATGGAATTACTGACATGGCCCTCCACTCTCTACCCATCTCTACTGTGTCCTGAAAGCTCTACTGTTCATTTGCTACATCAGTGCAGGGCTTGCTGCCACCAGAAGTTATAGGCTTGTAACTTGAACTTAATCTTTTAAAATCTGTTCTTGTTAGACTTATGACCCTCGTTGGATAGTCCAAACCATTCACTCTCTTGAGTAGTCTATGCTAGCTCCTGCTTTCAGCAAGTGGTGCATGCACTTGAAACACTGAGGGACCACCCAGTTCTGTGACTCCCCGTCCAGTCCCTTTTTCCCTTCACTCTCTTGGTTCCCTGTCCCTTCTTAGCTCAGAGCCGATGAGAGCTCACTTGTTCACTGATGACATGAAATTAACTACTAAATCGTTTTTCTGTCTGTCACCCACTTACCCTTCTCTCTGTGATCTTTTAAAAATGAAAGTTTAATCTCTATTTTTAAATATTATAGTAAAAATTTCTTTTTTGTCTGATTGTTTGTTCCTTTGTTTTTGAGATGGCATCTAGGTGTGTGGCACTTGCTAGCCTGATACTTGATATGTAGCCCAGGATGTTCTTGAATTTGTGGCAGTCAATCTCCTTGCCTCAGCATCTTAGAGCTGGGATTACAGGCATTCACATAATACCTAGCTTTATTTTTTAATCAGTTTATTACCTGACTCTTCTCCTACTTACCTTCAGTTTCTCCTGTGTCATTCTGTGTGCCTTCTGCCTGGAATGCCATCATCTAACCCTGCTTGGTGCTTCACTTTCTAAAAGCCTTTCCTAACAGTTCTGCTTAAAAAGACACCCTGTTCTCATTGTTCCTGCAGTGCCTCGATGGCCTCTGTCATGGCTCCTGCTACCCACTTACCAAGTATGCACATGTTCTTTTCCTCTGTTAAACTTGCCTACAGACTCCTTGTCAGTGCCTTTACTATGTAGGATGTGTGCTAGGTGTTTCTGATCATCACTGGCCCTCAACTTCCTCCTGTGAAGTCGTGAGATGGGAAGAGATGGTCAGGTCACTCCTCGTCACCCTCAAGCCTCTGAATTCGACCTGTAGGATCCACAGTATGCAGTACAGGTTCTGGAGGATCTGATTTGTTTAGGACAGGACTTCTCTTCCCATTGGCAGTTTCCACAGTCCTCTCTTCTCTCCGCTCAGGTGTATGGCTGGGGCTACAATGGCAATGGACAGCTGGGCTTGGGAAACAATGGCAACCAGTTGACCCCAGTGAGAGTGGCAGCTTTACACGGCATGTGTGTGAACCAGGTACACATTGCATTTTCTTGCCAGGCAGCCCCACCCACCCTCCTTGCTTTGATGGTGCTGCCCCATGTCTACTTTTCCCCTCAGGATATCCAGGCTCGTTGCACTCAAGCTGGGCTGGGAAAAGGGAAGCTTAGAGGCTCAAGAAAAAGCCAGTGCTAGGGAGACAGCTTCAGTGAGACAGCTCATATAATTGACAGTAACAAAGGCTATTTAAACCTCTGGGGGGGTGGGTAGAGGCTTTCAGGGTAAATGGACATCATTGGCCAGGGCCAAGGTATTGGGAATGCCTTATTTGCATGAAGAAGTATTCCAGGTTCTTGCCGGAGATGACCTTATAAGGAGATAGGAAGCTTAACCGGTAATCTGGTCACCAGGCTATGTGACCATCTCAACGGTGGCAAAGGTGGAGGGATAGGACTTATGTACCAGGACATGCAGGCCCAGGGCAGAGAAGGAGCAATCCTACTCCTAAGGGTCTTGAGACAGGATTTTGGGGGTTTGGACATGCATTAACGTCACTGTTGCTGCAGCCCACTCCCCATCTCATGACTTGGCAGATGTATTGGAGGCTAATTCTTTTGTCGTTCATTTCTGGCAACACTTTATGCCCTCACCTTTTACATTTAATGTTTTAGCCCCCTATTTTCCATGAGAAAAGAGACACCCATGTGAAGAAGACATGGTCTTCTTCACAGAGTAAAGAAGCTCATGAAGAAGTCCAGGGTCAAAGGGTTGGAGTTCTGACTATCCCAGCAAATGGCAGTGTACCTGTGCAGCTGAACTGGCCTTCTGCAGAGACTGACTGGGCTAAGCAGTTGGTTGCCCTGCTCTGCCTGTCTCAGTGTGGTAACCATTTGTGTTTCCTTTCAGATTGTCTGCGGTTACGCACATACACTAGCACTCACAGATGAGGGCTTGCTCTATGCCTGGGGAGCTAACACATATGGGCAGCTGGGAACTGGAAGTAAAAGTAACCTGCTGAGCCCAACACAAATCATGGTGGAAAAAGAAAGGTAAATTAGCCATGCCACGTCTTGGAGATTATGTATATGTGGCCTTGGAACTGTAGCAGAGCTGTGGTATTTGGCTTGTGACTCTTGTTGGTTAACATTCTCATTTTGATCAAAATGGTTTATGAGTCAGAAAGAATATGTGTAATCTTGTTCTGTCTTCTGAGGCACCCATCTGTAATTGGTAGAAACTAAACTCCTTAGTTCTGAAAGACTTAGAGTTGTCCATTACAAAGGGAGGTTATCTAAGGTCTATAATCATACTGAAATTCAGAGTGTAGCACTAACTTTGTACCAACTAAACTCACTTTTAAATAATTAAAATTGCTTTTTAAAGGGCATTATCTGTCTAAATATTGATTTTTGTTTAATGTCTGCTATTGTGATGGATACTTCATGTTTGTTCATCACACTGTGAGTTTTTATGCAGAGAGTTTGTTTGGGACCCTGCCTTAGGAGGCACTGAGAAAACTGAAGCAGGTGTGGCTTTTGGTTTGAGATGTTCAGGGTCTGTGAGCCCCAGACCAGTGGTATTCATCTTAATGATGATGCTGAACTCAGGACAGAGATGAAGGGGGAAAATGTATCTATAAGGAAATGCTGTATTGAAGATAAGATTTATGAGGAGGTATGGTGGAGAGGAAAGAGACAGTTGAATAAGGAAAGTGCTGGTAAGTAACTGAGTTTGATCCGCAGAGCCCATATTTAAAAAGCCAGATGTGGTGGTGTGTACTTGTAATCGCAGCACTGGAAAAGTGGAGACAGGTACTGGCCAGCCTAGCCTATTTGCTGAGTTATGGGCCAATTAGAGACTCTTATCTCAATAAAAAGCTTTAATGTATCCAGAATTACACCTGAGCTTATCTTCTGGCCTTGACACAAATGTGCACTCCACTCTCACCCCCCCATGAAAATACACACACACACACACACACACACACACACGCATACACACACGCATGCACGCACGCGAGCGCGCGAGAAACAGGTTTTTCTAAGATTTTTGTCTTAAGTTTGGTTTATCTGTGTGAGCTTTTGCCTGGGTGTATATGTGTACACTGTATGTGTGCTAACTCTGTGGAGTCAGAACAATGTCTCAGATCTTCTGGAACTGGAATTACAGATGAACCACGTTGATGCTGTGACCCAAACCTAGGGCCTCTACAAGAACAAAAGTGTTCTTAACCTCTGAGCCATTTCTTCAGCCCCAGTATTTTTTGTTTGTTTATTGTTTATAATCCCAGAACAGTGAAGACGTTTTGTCATTGTCCACTGTCCTCATTGACTTTAACTTCCAGTCTCTTTCCAAGTTTGCCTCAACAGTATGTATTATTTATATATTCCGACCTCAGGATGACATTAGGTGACAAATAGGGTCCTCAGAAAGAGACAGAGAGAGAGGAGGGTGTGTGTGTGTGTGTGTGTGTGTGTGTGTGTGTGTGTGTGTGTGTTTGGGGATGTTTCCTGATCTTTGCTTTTGGAAGCAGGACTTACTGCTTATATCAGTGACTTGTGAGCTGTTGAGGCATGAACTTGTAAATCACTCTATGGGGTGTGCTGGAGACTGATGTGATAAGGAAGTAACGGGAATTTTTCTTAATTTTTCAGGGTTATAGAGATTGCAGCTTGTCACTCCACCCACACATCTGCTGCCAAGACGCAGGGTGGCCATGTATACATGTGGGGCCAGTGCCGGGGCCAGTCGGTGATCCTGCCACACCTCACCCACTTCTCCTGCACTGATGATGTATTTGCCTGCTTTGGCACCCCGGCTGTTTCATGGCGCCTCCTGTCTGTCGGTAAGCTGCTTAAGCCTGCTTCCACCCAGGGCACCAAATCCCATTCCCTACATTTTTGGTTATTGTAAGTTGTTTGGGTTCTAGAATGTTTTCTATATGCTAGTTTTAATGCTTTTCCTAAATAATAATCAAATTTATTCATAGGTCATGAAACACTTCTATGGTCTTATTTTTTTCTTCCCTAAGTATTTTTATTTTAGTTGAGTTCATATTTAATAACAAAATTAACCAATACAATCAAGTGGCATTTATTCTGTTCACAATGCTTTGCACCCATGTTGTACTATATTAAGCTCCAAGAGTTTTCACTACTCCACAAAGCAACCACAGCTCACTAAGCAGCCGTGCCTCATCCACAGCCCCTTTAATGAAAAAAGAATTAAGCTGCTGCTTAACTTAAGGAGAAACAAAGAACATTTTTTTTTGTTTCTTTTTTAATTTTATTTTATTTTTATTTTTTTCTCAAATCGTAATTAATTCACACAGGGGTTATAAACACAGAAAGGAAGGATGTGGGGAAGGGAATGACACTGAAGTGTGGGTGATCGGGGGAATTCAGATATCTTCAGAACTGGTATCACCTAGGTGAAGGTTCGGGGGACAAGACTCTGCCTATGACTCGCTTGTCCTTATCTAAGTTGGTATTGTCTGCCCAGGCTACCTATTTACAAGGTCTATGACTACTCAGGCTTGTAAATTTCCACAAAAGCTGCCTGTTGACATTAGCTTATAGCCATCTGTTTCAATGTTTTTCCACTGAGACCCAAGACTTGGTGTTAGTATACATGTATGACAGGCCTATGGCTGATTTTAGGCCTATGGGTGATTTTAGGCCTTCAGTGTGTAAGCAGGGCTGCCCCTGACATCTCATCCCTTCTCTAAGTATAGAAGGGCTGTGGCGATTCTAAACTTGCGAAGGCGGGGATAGAGGCCTGACCTCCAGTATTTGAAGGGGACCTTGTAATGGCTCCAGTCCCCCTGTTGTTGTCCAGTGAGGCATGAGGGCCATACCCGTCCCGATGTCAAAGAACATTTTTTTAAAAATGTATTTTACTACCTCAGTTAGTGTAACACAATGTATATTTGCAATAAATACAATGACCAAAAAAAGAAAAAGGAAATGGGTTCAGTGAGTGGGATCATTTGATTATAATCACATTTATGTTTAGCATACATACACCGCCTGATATTTCCATTTGTTCTTCCAGCTGGCCTAAGTATGAAAGGCTTCCCAAGTCTTTGTATGATAAAGTGCAGAGATCGTTTTTCAAAACACTGTTTAACACTGTTTGGAGAGTACAACTAGCCACTAACCTTATCTCATACATGGCTGCTTTCCTAAAAGTCAGAAGGATTATATTGGTCATCGTAGACCAAGAGGGGAAAGGGTTGTTTCCATTTTGTGAGGAGATGCTGAGGCACCTATGAAAACCTTTGTTTTGAGCGAGTGGTTAGCCATCATTCATGCCTGGACACTCACCTTAGTCACTCCCGTTCTTTTCTCCAGAGTGCAGTAGGCTATGGATCTAGGAAGACTGGTTCTTCATATAAGGTCTAACTGTTTTTCAAAGCCAGCAGCACTCCTGGCTCATCCATTGTTCTCAGCCCAGAACAGTGGAGACTTGTCTGCTTTGGCTCAGTACCCAGCCTCTGGGTAGATCTTTCTCAGTGTCTTTTGTTATTTTTGTTCCCTCATACATATAAAGTATGGGATGGATTTGTCCTGGATCCTTGACTGTTCACAATAACACCATGCTCTTAGGTAGACTCCTCACAGCAGCTCCTGTCAGGTAACACCATCAATTTCCCTGTAAATGTTTGAGTCCTTACAGGGAAAGGTAGCATGGGAGTATTATTGCTTTACCATTAGTCTTCGGAGCTAAGTGCAAATGTTTCAATTTCAAATGGCTAAAATGTTTCTCTGCCTAAGAACTATTTGCATGGTAAGATGTTTGGATTCTTCAGCTTGGTTTGAATATGCCATCTAACTACCCAAATCAGAGCCAAGATGTTCTCAGTGTTTCAGTCAAGGAAAATTGTAAGCAGTTAGACCCAGAAGAGAAGCTACTCAGTTCATGAGTGATCAATTGTATCTCAGTAAACTACCTATGAGGTTTATTTTTAGTGCATATCTTCATGTTTAATTACACAGGAAGAATGTCATTTGACTTTGCCCATACTCATTTTGTTTTGTTGGTAGTTTATAGGTGAATTACTTTAATACTGTGAAGTAGATTTGTCAACTGAGTCATGAGCTTTATTGATCAGAAATAGAGTGGAATTGGACACCATAATTATCTTTTGGCCGCCTTTCATGCCTGACTGTGTCTCTCCAGCTTTGTGTATTAACGGCGTCTCTGTTGCCTTCAGAGCATGAAGACTTTTTAACAGTTGCAGAGTCACTGAAGAAAGAATTTGATAGTCCAGAAACTGCTGATCTAAAGTTTCGAATTGATGGAAAATATATTCATGTCCATAAAGCTGTTTTGAAAATCAGGTATTGTTGCATGGTTGTAGCGCTGTCAGTAACATTACTCGTTCCACTTGTTTATTACACACAGAACAGACACTCAGCAGCAGTGGCGATGGCAGGACAAAGAAGTATGGCAACTTAGTCGTTTTGGCAGGTAGTTACTACTTGTTCCCCAAGAGTGTTTTGACTTGTGTTCATGCAACTTTTAGGAAATGAGGGGAGTATAATAAGTATTTATGTTTTGGGGAGTTTTGTTTTAGTTTTGTTTTCTGTTGTTTAGTTTTCTGCAGTCCTGGGAATTGTAGCCAGTACTTGTGCATACTAGGCAAGTATCCCTAGTTCTTATCTTCTTTTCCAGATTATAACGTGCTAGTGATATAGCTCAGCAGTACAGCCCTTGTCTAGCATAGCCAGTACCCTGAGTTTGAGTCCCCAACAGTAAAATGAATTAATAAATTAAAATAGCTTTTGTAGATACTTTATTTGCATGCTAAATTTGTGAGTAAATGTCAATCTATATCTTCTTCTGTTCAAGATTAGTTTTTCCCTTACAGAGAACTTTTATAATCAGGAATGCGAATTGCCAACTAAAGAAAAGTTGTTTAAACAGAGTGAGTGGCAGGAGTTCCTGAGTAAATAGGAGGGGCTGGGCACTAGTTAATGATTGAATGAGTGTTTACCTAGATTACACTACAGAGAAAACACGGACACTCAAACCGTGAGTTAACCATGTATGTCTTTATGGAAACTCAGTTAAAAACCCATTGGTGGATGGAGATACAGCTCAGTTGGCAGAGTACTTGCCTGCCTGCCTTGCAAGAGGCCCTCGGCTAGAACTTGCACTGCAGGAAACTGATGCTTCCCAGTATTTTTTGGGTGGAAGCAGCAGAGTAAAATTTTAAGCCAACTGCAAAGCTATATGTTGTTAACTCCTTAGACCAATAACTATATGAACCACAGAAGTAGATGAAAAGGTGATTAGACATGTTTTTGCCTATGACTGTGGTCATCTGAGAGCATGTGCGCGCGCGTGTGTGTGTGTGTGTGTGTGTGTGTGTGTGTGTGTGTATGTGTATGTGTATCTTCTATAACTTTTCTAACCAATTACTCCATTATGCCTTGCTTAGAAATCTTTTTAACTTTACAAAGTAACTATCCCTGAACTAAGTTTTTAGGACTCTGAGTGAATATTACATATTTCTGTACCATATTTTACTCTATCACTAAGCTACATCCGCAGCCCTCACTGTGTTGTTTAATATGTATTTCTGCATACATAAAACCAAAAACAAAAGATCCAAACATTTGCTTAGAGTGGGGACTGATGGAAACAAGTACTGTTGAAGTACTGGGAACTTCCGGGATCTCTAGCTAATTGACACTGTTAAATGGTGATATCACGATGAGAGTGACTTTATTAAGTGTACATGGAAGTCCTTGCATAGCAAATACTTTGGCGCTAATAGTTAATTATCCCAGCTTATGCCAGCACAGAAGGCAAAGGGTACCTCTAATATCTGTTTATTTATCTGACCTCAGCCTTTTCATTAGGTAAGTCTTTGTTTTTGTTGTAGGTGTGAGCACTTTCGGTCCATGTTCCAGTCCTATTGGAATGAGGACATGAAGGAGGTGATAGAGATAGACCAGTTTTCTTACCCTGTGTACCGTGCCTTTCTCCAGTACCTCTACACAGACACAGTGGACCTGCCACCTGAGGATGCTATAGGTACTGCATTGGGACTGGCCAGGCCATGTGGCCATGCTGTCTCCTGTTCTTAGAGTGGTAACATATAGTAATTTACAGGTGTATTGACTTTTGTGTATTTAAAAATAATATTTAAGTAAACATCACTAAAATGTTAGTATAGTTTAAAATTATGGACATAGTTTATAACTATACTTACTTTAAATTTTTTAATATGGAAGTATGAGTTTAATATGGAAGTATGCATTTAACCTTTTAGAAACAAAATAAAGAAGTGAATCTTTTTTACTCTTACTATGGGAGAAATTGTATAAAGTAAATCTGAGCTGCTGACCATGAAATGACAGTGATGTCAGTCACAGTGTGCACTGCGACTGCTGAGATTTAGTTCTTCTGCCTTTTAGGCCTTTTGGACTTGGCGACATCATACTGTGAGAACAGACTGAAGAGGCTTTGTCAGCACATCATCAAGCGAGGAATCACTGTGGAGAACGCATTTTCATTGTTCTCTGCTGCAGTCAGATATGACGCAGAGGTAACACAGAAGTGCCCCAGCTCCCTCACCGTCAGCCCACTTCCCTCTCTCCTGTGACACAACATGGCTGGTTTCACCTCCTATAGTGACTCAGTGACAAGCCTCAGATGAAATCTGCCTTTGCTCTTTACATCTCTGTTGCAGTTCAGAATCAGGGTTTTTCTGCTTTTGCTTTTAAATAATTGTCTGAAGGCTGCACAGTGGATGTGTAAAGTACTGGACTCCTCTGGACTGACAGGCAGCATGCTTTACTTCCAGTCTTCTCATTCAGTGCGTCTGTCTCTCCAGACCCACTCTGCCGAGTCCACCGTCAGAAGCCCAGGGTGCTGTTGGCTTTACATCCGGGTGGGTCTGGAATTCTGTCACTGTCATGTAGCTCAGTTCCTCTGTGAAAAACTTACTGTGTACTACCTCTTTTTTTAACTTAAAGGTTTTTAGTGCACATGCAGTGTGTGTGTGTGTGTGTGTGTGTGTGTGTGTGTGTGTGTGTGTGTGTACATTTGAACAACTCTGGGGAGTCAGTTTTTTTCTGCCTTGACATGGATTCCAAAGATCAGAGTCAGTTGGTAGGCTTATGCAGCAGATATCCTTTACCCACTGAGCCATCTCAGCAGTTCCCAGTTTGTTTTAAACTTAGCTGGATTTCAGATCTCCATTTCTCAGAGTCTGATGAGTATTCTGGAGTATGTATGCCATTGAACTTCCCTGATTGAGCAGAGCCACAGATTATGAACAGAAGCTGCCCATGGTTGGCCGTGTGCTGCAGCACCCAGTATGAGTGCTGATGCATGGCAGCTGATGCTGTTGAACCATGAAGATAGTGCCACCAAAGGCTGCAGGAGATGTTGTTAATAGCTGACCTGGGTAGTTCTACAGATTCATAAAGAGTAGAGGCTGACTTTGCCAAGCACACCAGAAGCCTGTCTTTAGAGGTGTTTTGTCATTTGACAATGCAGTCTCCAGTAACTGGGAATTTATCAGAGATACACATTCTGGCCCTTGAGGTGTAACAGAGGACAGACTTCTGTCTGTGACGCTTAGGGACTGAGTTGACCGTTATGCCTTTTATTATCAGAATGTATCCTATTTTTGTTTGAGGTTCTTTTATGGTGATAAATATTTCACAAGGTCAAGTGCAGCTGACTTGGAGACTGACAACAAATGGAAATGTGGTTGGTGTGAATTGTGGCTGAAAGATGGAGGTGAGGTTTGCTTCCTCCCTGTACCACTGAGAGCCTGTGCTAGACTCAGCCTTACACAACAGTATAATTTTAAATTAGGTTGATTGTAACTTTAATTTTTTCTAATTCCTACTTTTAATTCTATGATACTTTAACCTCCCTTTTTACCCCACCATCCGCTAAAGGTAGAGGAGAAGTAGACCTGTTTTTTGGAGTAACTCCTGTCAGTGTTGTCTGGAAATCGACAGTTCAGTTCACAGGTCAACAACAGCAGCTCAAGCCACTCGCAAACACTTCCCGGATATATCAGCAGTCCAGTTCAATAGAGTCAGGTTAGCAATAGAGTCAGCAGTGATGTCACAACCTAGCAGGACAGTCAGACCTCAGCCTCAGCACAAGTCAGCAGGAGGGACCAGGGGCAACAGGAACTCAGAAAAAGTTCTCAGCTGTGCCTCTTTCAGTGAAGTGAAACTAGTGAAGACAAGAGACCAACAAGTGTTGCACAGCTAGCTGTGTAAGCAGCCTAGCTCAGCCTCAGCTACTGTCCTTCAAGTTCTTTTTATATCCCTTCAGTGTTCTCCACTGGTCTTGCCTCAGCACATGTGTCTGTCTCAGCTGACATCACTCTGCTGCAGAAGTAGCAAGATGCCATGGTATGCCACCAGAAGGTTTTTGGTGCAGTTTTTCTCTTCGGAGTCCCAACAAATGGAGCTCAACTCCACAGTGTAAAGGAGACCAATACTTGTGTGTAGTTAGCAAAGAATCTTTCATCATGTGTCCTTTCATGTGCTAGCTTTAGCAGAACATCCTTTTGCTTTTTATGTCTGCTTCAGGAAAAATGTGCCTTCACACGTCTGCCTTAGCCTTTCACCTGTGTCCACTTCAGGAACACAGTCCTTCCAGTGTTTGCCCTAGCAGAACACCATCTAACACAACAGACTCTCCAAAGAACCCATTTCTCTCCATTTGGGAATCGATTTTAGATTCTTCTCGTGCTTCTCCACACTTTTCCATGTTTTGTGATAAATCCTGTTGGTTTACAACAGCCAAGACAACCCAACACAAGGCCCACAGCCTAGATCCTGTTACTGGAAATTTGTTCCCCACTTTCACCTAAAACCTAAAGTTTAGAGGAAAAGACTGGACATGAGCCTCAGAATTCTTAGGGTAGCAAGAGAAAGCACCCTTGACTCCCCCTATACACATAATAACGCATTTAAATATGTTCTGAACAATAAAAGGACAGTTAGGACTGGCAGAGAGGCAGGAGGATCTCAGGGAGCTTGAGGCTGCCTGCTTTGCATAATGAGTTGCAGTCTAGCCAGAGCTACACAGTGAGACCCTGTCTAAAAAAAGAAAAAAAAAAAAAGCAAAAACAACCTTACAAGAAGAACTCAATGCCACTGCAGCTGGCAGCAGCCCATGTCCTTTGCTCGTCTTCGCTTATGTATAAATATATTAAGAGCTGTTGCTTTATAGAGACCACAAATGAATGTGATTACCTGGAGCTTGTCACTGCGGGCAGAGTCAGTGCTCAAAAACACATTCTGAATTGAATAATCGGATATGTTTGAGACACCAAAACTATATTGAATGGACAAATATGTTTATAACACTTCACTATAAAGTATTCAAGATAACATACAAACCTTAAATTCCACAAATATGACAAATTCAATGTGGAAAAAGAGTAGAATCTTCACAATACACTTCTTAGACTTTGATACTGAGCTATATGATCAACGAGTAAATGTTTATTTTTTTTTTCCGAATACCTTGGAATATAGTAAGCGACCATAGTATTGAGTATTCAAATCAAACCCCTTTATTATGTGTGTTGTTAGTTGATTGGAAATGACTGAGATTGGTAATCAACTACAAAAACTAAGTTTGAAAGCCCAGCTTTGGGATAGCAGAAGCCATTGGTCTGGATTGTTCCGAGAAGCTACTCAGTCGCCTGTTCGTAACGGTGCCTGACTCTGCATGCACCCGTTGGAGGAAACTTGAAGTTGATGTACAAAAGAAGTGCACCTTAGTAGTGTGTGTGCAAAAGCAATGCTACGGAAATGTCTTAGGAACATGCACCATCAGACTTGGTACACTTTACAGAGGACTCCGAGGAGGAGCGCTTCACGGTGCTCCAGCACAGCGGTGAGGAACTAAAGCACGACCTCAGCATAGCAGCTCCTCAGTGCTGCTGGACGGAATGTGTTTAAAAACCAAGGGAAACACTTGGATGCCCTTCTCACAGGAGAAGTCTTTCTGGGACTCTGGGCGTTTTGGGGGGTTGCTTTGTGTGCGAATGTTGCTTAACACCAGAGCTAAGCAGTCAGCATTTTTGTTGTTATTGTACTGGAGAGGGTAAGATTAAGTTTTAGTCAGTGAGCCTCAAAATTCTTAGGGTAGCAAGAGAAAGCACCCTTGGCCCCCTACACACACATAATAACACATTTAAATATGTTCTGAAGAACAAAGGTGGAGGCCATGTTGGTCTGGAATATTTTGTATTTGACACACTAAGGTAGACTCTGCAGTTTTGCACTTGACTTGGTAGTGCTCTTTACCACCAGGAATCATCTCACTGTTGGTGATAACACTGGACAACCTGTTTCACTGGCCGAGTGATCTTTTAGAGAAGATAACTTTAAAAGTGGTAGTATTTCACTTACCACTGTGAAGTTTTGGACTAAGTAACACCACCACTGACTAAACAAGAGTGCCACTGATTGCTGTTTTAGCATTTTAAACCAGAGGTTTGGGGTCACTTTCCCAGTGTTTTAAGAAAATTGGTAGAAAGAAAAAACAACTTGGTTTTCAGTTTGATGATTATTATAATTTCACCATGAAAGCTTTGGAGTGAGAGCCAGTGAGAGCTCAGTGGGTAAAGGTACCTGCCATTAAGTCCACCAGGGACCCTGCTCAGCTGGAACCCATCATGAGAAGGAAAGAATCTGCTCCCACGAGAGGTCCTGTGACTTCTGTGCTCATGCCTCACGTATACGCAAATTTTTTTGTTTTAATTTTGGATTTTTGTTTTTCAAATTAGCGATTTAAAAATTTGTTGTTCTCTTCTAATTTCAGTAACTGACACTGGATCTGCCCTAGATCCACTTTATAATTTCTCCACAGACTTATAAACTCTGGTTTCTAGTATAAAGACTCAGTTTTACACGCTCTGCTCCCACAAGAAGGCAAGACCCTTCATCTTCAATGTTGTAGAGCTCCTTACAACTTACAACCAGTCAGACAAGTGTTTGATAAGAAAGCTTTTATTTAGTGTTGTTTGCATTCATACATTGGAGTGCTCTCAATAAACATAGCAATTTGTCTAATAAGGTTTTGTTTCCACTATTGACTTAGAAGACAATACTAGGGCCCTGGTATTGATGAATGTGTGTGGTAACAGACACCGTTTCTGTACTGTGCTTCACTGTCTACTGTTGGGAGTTGGTGACTTCCATTCATCTATCTGAAAATGCTAATTTGTAAATACAATTGTCTAGGGTTCACCACGACCTTATGAATAGCATGCTATAAGATGTTGTATATTACTTGAGGCTTTAAAAATGAAGTCATTTTTATTAGAAGACATTTTTAAAAAGTTAAGTTTGTGAGGGTTTTTAGCTTCTTTTTTCTTTTTTTTTTTTTAGTATGATTTTAGGTAGACCACATATTTTCATCTATTCCATAAACTTTCTATTCTTTAACTTGCTTACATCTTAATTTTCTGCTTTCTTAAATGTAACAAACTATGTATGGACAAAAGTGGCATTGGGCTTTGTACATTGCTTGGAGATACCTGCAGTGTGTGCTAGCTATGGAGGCCCTGGATGACTTTGTGTGTATGATGTGTATCACACTTGAGTTAGGGAAACCTTGCTTTCACTCTACTATGAGTAGATGGCAGGTGGTTTTCTGATAATGTAGTTTGAGGTATCTGGTCTCCAGTATCTCTGCTGGGAAGGGTGAGAGAGTTGGGTTGAGAGATTAGCTGAGAAACAGTTCCCAGTTAATAAACAAAAGCCTCTTCCTGTTCTTGTTTTTGTTGTATGTGTCCAGGATTTAGAAGAATTCTGCTTTAAGTTTTGCATCAATCATTTGACAGAAGTTACCCAGACTGCGGCGTTCTGGCAAATGGATGGCCCCCTGCTAAAGGAGTTCATTGCTAAAGCCAGTAAATGTGGAGCCTTTAAGAACTGAAGCCAAGGTTGCTGGGCTAGGTGTGAGAGCTCTGGGGCACTGTGGGTGAGGTGATTCTGCAGGTAAAATCCCACGTCAGAGACAGTGCTCTGTAGGAATATATGAAGGAGATTTGGTTCTTGTCAGTCTGTTTTTTACAACTCTTGTTTCTAGATATGTATATTTTACATGTGTTTTTCTTACATTTGATTGAACATTGGGAAAGGATGGAGGTTAACATGCTTTTGTTCGTTTAATTTTATTGAGAAGACTTTTTGAACTTGGATTAAGAAAGTCAGCAAAAAAATCCCTGGACCTTTGGTCACAATTGTTCCCACACGGCCTGCCCACTGCTCCCTGATTGCTGCTCACAGTCACCAACCTCTGTGGGCACATCAGCACTGTGGGGGGCTCTTAAGGAATATTCTGAATATGCATTAAACCCACTTAAACAGTTAAGAAATATTTGGGTTCGCTGAGATACTCTTAAGGCATAGGCACCTAGGGGTGGAAAGATGGCTCAGCAGGTAAAGGCTCTTATCACTGAGCCTGATGACTTCACTTCAGTCACCAGGATCCACATGGTGGTAGGAGTCAGCAGACTTCCAAGTTGTCCTCTTACCACAACACTTGTTCTATGACCACATAGCGGCACACAATAAAGGAGAAGAAGAAATCAAAGATTTAGGTACCTATAGAGAAGTAACTAGAAATACCTGTGACAAGCTGATGGTAAAAAAAGCTTTGTTTGGGAGAGGAGAGTGTTATGGAAATTAAAGGCTCCCCTGATTACCCAACAGTGCTTCACTAGGGTTCTGTGTGAGACCAGGTTCCACACTACCCTCGTCTTCTCCCTATAATTACTCACAAACACACTCTACATGGCTGCTCTTTTCTGACTTGACATGATTGTTAAAACCACCCTCCTTACAGGACTCCATAGAATGCTCACTGTTTTGGGTGGTGGGAGGAGTCTGGGACAAATTCCATCAAAACTTACTTGAAACTTCACCTCTCCAGTTTTGGTTTTTCCTTTCAATAATTGTGTTAGGGATACTTCTGTCATATGTTAAGCTAATGCTCCCTGGTCATGCTTTTCCTGAAAAGGTCATTTGTAAAAGACTACATCAGGGTGGATGTTGACTGAGGCACAAAGATAGGCAGGGGTGTTGATAGACAAGAAAATAGGAACTAGAGCTCAAAGCAGTCTTCCTGATCAGGTCACAGCTGTTGCCTGGTGCATCAGTGAGTGACAACTGCCTCCTCAGTGACAGTTTCCTGCCCAGGATGATGCATGGACATAATTTGATTTGCCATAGGAGATCATCTGTAGAACCACAGTCCTGTAGACTTAGGGCCTCAAAGCAGTAACTTTAGGAAGTTTACTGGTGTTCTTACTTGAAAAACTTCTTCACAAAAAAAGCACAAATTACAGCTGCAAACCCACACCCATAGACAGTTCACCTGACAAAAACGTACTGAGTTCCTGATACAGCTGAAGACACACTTTTAGGTTACTGAGCAGCTAGAGTGTGTGTGTGTGTGTGTGTGTGTGTGTGTGTGTGTGTGTGTGTGTTAGTGAAAGAAAAGACCGTTAAAAAGGGTTTGCATATTTTTTTTATTGCAATCTTTTTATTTTTCTACTTGGTTTTGGTTATAATCATAGAAAACAAAAAACTATTCTTGAAATTAATGTTTTCTTCTGATGTAATAATGGAAGCCAGAGATGTCACATTTCTTAAAAGAGCCCAAACTGTATCCTTGAAGTTACTGGAACCAGTTTTTATACTTTAGTAATTAGAATGCATTTATGTAATTTCTTGATTGACATGCTAATAAACAATCTCTTAAGGCACACTTGTACAGTTGTGGTTATTTTCCCCTTTAGTAGTATAAAGCCTGAAAACAGGGAGGAACTTGATTAATATGTGGACTTCAGTCAAAAAATAATAGTCGGCCCCCTACCAAAAAAAAAAATATACTGTGTGGTCCAGTTCCTGTTGGGAGAAAGAGAGTGGATACCAGGAGTTAGAAAAGGACACAGATATTAAATGCATAGTTTCCTTCTGGCAAGGTGAAGTGGTTTAGGATGAATAATAATTTTGCCTATATTTGATGCTACTGAATTATATATTTTTAAAAGGGTTGATACGGAGAAAGAACAAACAAAAGAAGGTTGAGATGTTAAATTTTGTTTATGCATGGTATCACAATTTTTAATATTATCAATGTTAGAATAAAAGTAAGGTACCACTATGGATAAAGTGTCAGCCAGTTCTCAGCTACCAGACCTTATTTCTGTTAGAAGAGGACAGTTGAACCATCAGATGGAACAATCATCTGAGATGGGAGAACTTAAAAATGAAAAGCAGCACCCACTGTCCTTGTGAGACATACCAGTTGTTGTGAACATTGGGCTAGCAACCAATAATCTAATGGAATGTTTGCAAAGTTTTTGAGCTCACTTCGTTCATGAGAGGATGCATATGCCATGACATTCTTGTGGAGGTCACAGGACAACTGGTAAAAGTGAGTTCAGTTGTGTGGGTTCTGGTAAAACACTCAAGTCGTGAGGCTTCATGACTAGTGCTGAACATGTCACCAGCATTTATTTTCATCTAATGGAACCAAACAGATTGGACTCAACAAACAATTGTTCTGAGGATGTTTTCTGTACAATAGGGGAAAACATGAAGTGTTAGCTCACATAGAAAACCGAACAGTTACCGCGCCTGATCGTGAACCTGGCTCTAGGTCTGAAAACAATGCAGCGTCGAATGGGGGTGTATGTGTGAGATCCTAACATTTACACCCACAGTGTGCTCTGTGGTGCCCGGATGTATGTGTGAGATCCTAACATTTACACCCACAGTGTGCTCTGCGGTGCCCGGATGTATGTGTGAGATCCTAACATTTACACCCACAGTGTGCTCCGCGGTGCCCAGAGCCTCCCGGAGCCTCCACACACTTCCTTAGAGACAGGCGAGGCCTGTATTTGGCTCATTTTTCAGTAATAACACAGCAGGTTTATTTTAGAAGTCTGCCCAATATACGTGTTTATAAACACCAAACAAGTGGTGCCTTTTCTGCCGTATAGTTT